GATTGAATATGATGACAGGACCTGATCATTACCCTCTCCCAAACATTGCTGATGTCACGACATACCTACATGGGGCAAGATATTTTCCAAACTGGACTTGCTCAAAGGTTTCTATCAAGTCCCTATGAATCCTGAAGACATTCCCAAGACAGTCATAACCACTCCCTTCGGAACATATACGTTCAACTACTCTTGCTTCAGCCTCAGAAACGCCGGAGCCACTTTCCAACGCATGATGGATGGGATATTGGGTGACCTACCCTTCTGTGTTGCTTATGTTGATGACATCCTAGCTTTCTCTCCTAATCATGACACCCACACCAAACACCTCCACCAAGTTCTTGAACGTCTACGCTCTGCTGGTCTCATTGTGAGGAACAACAAATGTGTATTTGGAGTCAAAGAAGTAGAGTTCCTGAGACACTGTATCTTCTCCAATGGTGTCCTTCCCCTCCAAGAAAAAGTAACTGCCGTTCAGACATTCCCTAAGCCCACTACTATCAAGGCCTTGCAAGAATTTGTAGGAATGGTTAACTATTACCATCATTTTTTACCAAACATTGCTTCAATAATGACTCCACTATATACAGCACTGGCTGGAAAACCAATATCTCTATCTTGGAGCCCTGCCCAAGAAGATGCCTTTAATGCTGCCGAAAAAGCTATTTCTGCTGGAGCCCATCTTCACTTTCCAACACCTGGTCTACCTTTCATCTTGTCTACTGATGCCAGTGATACTGCATTGGGAACTGTCCTCGAACAGATTAATCATGTAGTTTGTCAACCACTCGCCTTCTTCAGTAGAAAGCTTACTCTTGCTGAAACCCATTACTCCACCTTCGACAGGGAGCTTCTTGCTATTTGTTCCACTGTCCGCCACTTCAAGCATTTTCTTGAAGGAGTCTCATTTACCATCCAAAAAGACTACCTTCCACTTGTCCACGCCTTTACCAAGCGAACAGATCCATGTTCCGCAAGACAACAAAGACACCTCTCTACTATATCTGAGTTTAACTGTACTTTGCAACATGTCTCCGGAAAAAAGAATCCTGTCGCTGATGCACTTTCAAGAAACACTATTTCATCCATATGCCTTTTCCTCAACTACAGACACCTCACAGAACTACGGATACAAGATCCTGAAATACAATCTTGTCGTACATCTCTCACATCTCTTCAATGTAAAGATATACCAATAGACAAACAAGGGACCACCATCTTGTGTGACGTGAGTTCAGGACGACCTCGCCCCTGGATTCCTCAGCCTCTTCAACGACACGTATTCCAACTTATTCATGGACTTTCTCATCCCTCCGGCTGATCAACTGCTATGCTTCTCAAGAAATAATTCATATGGCACGGCACAACGAAAGACGCTAAATCTTGGTCCTGCTCCTGCTTGTCATGTCAAACTTCTAAAATCCACCGAAATACTGAATCTGGGATTGGTACATTTCCTCAGCCACAAAGACTTTTTCCCATGTCCATGTTGACATTGTGGGACCTCTTCCTCCATCAGAAAACAACAAATACATATTCATAATAGTGGACCGCTCAACCCGATGGCCCGAGGCAGTGCCCATGGTAGTGGCCACTGCCTCCTCCTGTGCTTCTGCCTTCCTATCTTCCTGGATCTCAAGATTTGGCATCCCCGAACATATTACATCAGATAGGGGATACACATTTACATCCCAACTTTGGGACTCTCTCAGTCAGCTCCTTGGCTACACAAACCATCACACAACATCCTACAATCCAGAAGAGAATGGCATGGTTGAACGCATGCACAGAACACTAAAGGCAGCCCTCATCACCCGCTGCACAAGCAATCCTTGGACACATCAACTACCTTGGGTACTCCTTGGACTCCGCACTACTCCCAAAGAAGGTCTTAACTTATGCTCAGCCGAGATGGTACATGGCGACCCCTTGGTGGTACCTGCGAAGTTTTTCCCAAACAACGATCACCATGAAGATCTCGATCATCTCTGCCAGATAGTTGGAAAATACACACCTGTAAAACAATCATACCAGAAAAACATAAAAACTTTCATTCCACGAGACCTCAACACAGCCACCCACGTCTTCATCAGAACGGATAGTCATCGGATGACTCTAACACCTCCTTACACTGGACTGCATAGAGTCATACGACGACGTGCAAAGGCATTCCTCCTCAACATCCGTGGCACTGAGGAGTGGATATCCATTGACTGCCCTGAGAGTCGCCTACCTTCAAGAAGATGATCCTCCTCCTATTCCTTTCTCTAGGGCAGGACGCCCTTTAGTCTCTTCCAAGGGGGGAGCATTGTACAAATGTACAAATTGTAAATAATATTTTTTATGAAAATATGTAATTATTGTAATAGGTAATCATTTAGTAATTATTAAGTTATTCTTAAGTTGTATTTAATGGGTCAATAATTACTCTTGGGTTGTTTGTAACTCCTCCCACTGAAATAGCTGTACATATAAATAACCATGAATTTGATCATTAAATCAGTTCAATATTCTGCTTGTATTGGTGAAAATCCTCTTTTATATATTAAGTAAAATAACTCTTGCTCTCCGTTTGAAGTCGTGAAGTAACTACAGTTGTTACACCCTTTATAGATTGGGATGATTAGGCATCATCTCCACTCCTCTGGCATCTTTTCCTGACTAAAGATCTTTTGCATTAAGTCCCACAAGATATCTATGCCTTCCTCTCCAAGGCTCTTACATACCTCCATTGGCATCTTATCAGATTCTGCTCCCTTTTCATTTTTCATTTTCCTTACTGCCTGCTCTACCTCTCTTCTAGCTACTGTTGTTGTAACTGCTTCATCTGGAAGTCCATCCTCAAATACCGTTCTTGGGTTCTCTTCATTTAGTAATCCTTCAAAATAAGTTTCCCATCTGCTTTTATTTCATCCTCTTCTGCTAGAACTACTCAATGGTTATCCTTTATTTGTCTTACTTGGATCAAGTCCTTGGATGCAGCATCTCGGGCCTTGGCAATTCGCCATATTTTCTTTTCTCCTTCTGGTGTTTCCAGCTCTTCATAGACTTCATTCAATGTCTCTGCCTTTGTTTTTGCCACTGCTCGCCTTGCCTCCTTCTTTGCCTGCTTGTATTCTTCTTTATCCTGCTCTAGGCCTGATAAATCAGCTTACTTCTTAGATGCTTTCTTGTTCTTCACCCATTCTTGCACTTCCTCATTCCACCACCATGACTCTTTACCATTTGGGGGTTTCCTTCCTGATGACTTTCCAAGTACCTCCTTACCAACCCTCAAAATCACCTTACTATTCTCTGTCCACCATTCTTGTACATCCTCATGCAACCTTATTGCTTCCAACACTCTTCCCTTAAACATAGCCCTCAGCTCCTCATCTTTCAATCTCCACCACTTTATCTTTGGGTCTATCCTCGGCTTCTTATTTTCCTACATTTCCTGAGCCTGCAATCAGTTACTACTATCCTATGTTGCACTGCTACAATCTCCCCATTTATTACTTTACAGTTGCTAATCTCCTTCAGATGGTCTCTCCTACACAACAGTAAATCTATCTGGTTCTCCCTCCCACCACTACTGTATGTAATCAATCTGTTTTCCTTTTTCTCAAAGAATGTGTTGACCAATGCCAGATCAAATGCCACCGCAAAATCAATCACTCTCTCTCCCCCCACATTTCTCTCACCCCCCCAGCCCCAATGGACTCTACCTATCCCAGCCCTCCCAATTCCCAAGTGGCCATTTAGATCTCCTCCCAAAATTACTCTCTCCCTTATAGGAATTTTTCTAAGTTCCTGGTCCATCTCCCCCCAAAATACATCCTTCTCCTCCGCTGTACAACCAGTTTGAGGGGCATTGGCACATACCACACACACACACACACACACACACACACACACACACACACACACACACACACACACACACACACACACACACACACACACATACACACACACACACACACACACACACACACACACACACACATATATATATATATATATATATATATATATATATATATATATATATATATATATATATATATATATATATATATATATATTATCAAATAAGCACATTACATATGTGAAACCATATGTAATGAGCTTATTTGATAATTTCATGGCCCGAATGAGATTGGGAATTGAATTAAATGTTAAAATGAAGCCACGCTTGAGGTTGGGGAATCTGTAATATGAACATAGTGGCATTCAATTAGAATGCGTTCCTTCCTAAGTATGGCAGATATAAGCTATAAGGTTGGATTCCTTTTAACCTTCTTTGGTGTAGTGGTAGCGCCTTAACTTAGTAATCATAAGTCCTAGGTTCGAGTCCCGGTCGGGGTAAAAAAATGATTCATATATATATATATATATATATATATATATATATATATATATATATATATATATATATATATATATATTATATATATATATATATATATATATATATATATATATATATATATATATATATATATATATATATATATATATATATATATATATATATATATATATATATATATATATATATATATATATATATATATATATATATATATATATATATATATATATATATATATATATATATATATATATATATATATATATATATATATATATATATATATATATATATATATATATATATATATATATATATATATATATATATATATATATATATATTTAAACATATATATGAATAATTTTTACCCCAACTGGGATTTGAACCAAGGACATATAATTACTATGCCAAGGTGCTACCAACTACACCACAGAGGGTCTAAAAAGGAAACACACCCTACAGCTTTTATCTGCTATAGAGGGATGAACAAACTCTATTTGAATGCTATTCTCTTCATATTACAGTATCCAACAGCCTCTTTCGTGGCTTCGGTTTCGCATTTAATTTAACTCCCAATCTCATTCGGGACCAACAATAATCATATAAGCACATTACCACATGTGAAAACATGAATAATTTT